ATTTTTCTTTGTCCCACGCTCATGTCATGTTGATTAATTCACCTTCACATTTCATTACCGAGCTTAAAATTCACCATCTTTATTAACTTATCAATTAATAAATTGTTGTCATAATAACGTTGCTTTTTAGATGTTTATAGAAGGCTAAGAGTTACTAAAATTTTGAAAACCAAAACATTTTTGACCGTACGGTCATCATCAGTGGCACATGATGGAAAACTACATACGACATGGTTTTGTTCAATTAATAAGTTATTCCCGAGGGGAACAGTCTTGCAATGAAAGAATGTACTTGTTTGTTGATGACCATATGGTCAAAAATGTGTTGGTTTTTAAAATTTTTAATTAGTAACTTTTAGCCTTTTATAAACAATTAATAAATTATTTCTCAACTTAAAACCTATTAATTATACAGTGCATTATTAAGGTTGTCTCATTGCACAACTGTCTGATTACTCCTGATTTATCACAGGTGACAAACACAGTTTGAGATGACTTAGGACACGCCCCTTAAAGTAACAACAAACGGAAGTTGTTTGCCAAAACATTTTTAAGATAAAATCCTATAAGTCAAGAAATCATATGGGAGTCAAACGAACAATACAAGAAAAAACAGATATCTTGATGGAATATGTTTAAACGCTTTTATTATTACTTCCACATTGTGGTTCTTAATACATAAGCCAGGACTGGAGCCTGGGGGAGGGGGAGTGTGTGTGGTACTTCCCTAAATTTCGGATACGTGTGTGCCACAAAGGGTCTTAAACCCTGACCCTATTTAAAGGATGAAGCAAATGTATTAATATCCTAATTAAGCCCAAAATTGAAAAATGATAACTTAGGTACCCTATCTAAGGATCACACCAGGAACGTTAACGCAATGCCAACAGGGGCAAAATGATGCCCTATTTAAGGATCAAGGACCTCAAAAACCTTATCCTATCCCACAGCAAATACCTATATAGCCCATATATGTGACTCCCCCCCCCCCCCACCACCTCCGCCAAGTGCAACATAACAGTACAGCATCAAAGTGAAGCTTACAATAAAAGCTCTCATTTGTGGAATGAATGATCACTAAATAGAGTCTTATTCAAAGGTGTAAATTTAAGACCAACATTAAACTTTTTCATCAATATATGTACAATGTTACACGGTGAAAGAGCTGCATATATTTAATCACACACCTTGCCACGGCCACAACGGACTAAAGTACCCATGAAAGCAATGTTTCTTCTTTGTGAGATCCCTCCACTTGATTTGGATGGAGGAATCATATCAGTTGTTTTACTTGCTGGTTCAGTCTCACCAGTAAAACTTGATTCATCTATTTTCAAATCTATAGCCTAAAAAAACAGACTTTTATTGACAAACAAACAATTGGACGATAATATATCTATCTAGATAATTTATTTATTTATTTATTTATTTATTTATTTATTAAAATTAATTATTAACAACTGATTGACCATGTTGTATAACACAAGACCCATGTGATAAGGAAGCAGTCTTTATACCTCGATTAGCCTTAAATCTGCTGGAACTCTATCTCCTACTGAAATGGTGACTAGATCTCCAGGGACTAAACTGCGAGCCAAAAAATCTGCTACCTGGCCTTCACGAATACTGAAGAAGGAAAAAAGTCAAGAATGCCATGAATATCTTGTCCACCTTACACAGAGTGACATGTATTGCTTGTACATGTATAACATTAATTACAGTCACTGATGTCTCTCAAAATAGCCAGCGGTGGAGATTGGGGAAGTGCCAAAGGGTAAGGGATGTACAAATAGCTAAAGGCTGGTTGCTGGCTAATTTCACCACCTGAAAGAGGACTTAAATCTGGCTGAAATTTCCCACAGAACAAAGATTTGATTACATCATTGTCAGAGAAGCCGGCTGGGCTTGTTAATGAGCTGGCCTAGTGTCTTCCGGATTACATCCCTGGCGGACCGAAAATGTTTGGCCTTCCCTTATCCCCTTTGCTCTTTCTGAACAGCTCCAAACGTTACATGATCATGATATTTTATTGTGAACAATGTAAATTAAACACAAATCCACTTGAGCCTTTTTACCAGTGACAGCCAGGTGGGACAAGTTTCTTGATGGCTTCCACTGACTTGTCAGAACGGTATTCCTGCAAGCATAGAAAACAAACAGTAAAAAAATAAGCAAAACAAAGGAATTTGAATGTACAAAAGTCCATCATTTTCAGCTCTAAATCCAACACAACACAGCTGAAACCATGACGTAACCAGCTCTTGTAGGCAACCATTTTTCCAAAATACCAAAATTTGCCCAGTCAAATCACTAATAGCTGGGACCTTTTGTTCCTGACAACCTCTCATAGTTGACTGCAACAAAAGTTAAGACTCTGTGATCTGATCTCAATATATGGACCAATGGGGTAACAAGATGGCTTACAGCTCTGATATGAAGATACAGTTTGTTTTCAGTCATGAAAATTTTACATCTCTCATATCTAATGTTTATGGATTGAGAGAATATTGGTTCACAGTTGAAAATATTTGCACCAGATGCCCTGAAATCATTTCAAATTACTATACTATCGGTACTTAATATATTCTTGACTAAAACCTTTCAGAGTTTACAGAGTATTTGCGCATAGATCAAACCTCTGGAAAGACTAGTAACACCCAAGGGCTCTAAGATTACACCCCATACAGTCTAAACTATGTCTTGCACAAGTTACCACTCGCTATATTACAAGCCTTGGGACCATGTAGCCTCAAGTAACAATTTTGAAGTCGTAACATATCTACTAGAAGTCAAGAAAAGCATTTAAATACAGTAATTAAAAGTAACCATACCTGAACAAATGCTACTGTAACAACAATTATTATGGCCTGAAATATAAACCATTCAGAACAATGAATACATGAAAACATTATGGAAATTTGACTGTATGTTACCATTGAAAGCTAATTACTAACAGTGAACAAAAATTGAGCAGTGACATTAAAATGCCTTTTCATTAAATTCCAATATTACGCCATTTTACTATTAGGTATAAGGTCAAGAAAACGTGCAAAAATGAGCCCCTATTGCATTGCAGAGTCGCATATTGTTTTCTTAGCATGCATTGCAGTAGCCATATGTCAATCATTTGTTTATTTAAGGACTGTGCCTACATATACTTTTGATATTGCACACACGGCACACATCCCACAAGGCCTGGATTAAAAGCCACGTCCACATGAGTTGAAACTGGGATAGTACTTTATGTAAGACTACATATAATGTCCCGAGAATATGGCTGAAGCTTTAGTATACCCCCATAAACCTTTGTTTACCCTTGTATACCAATGTAAACCCTTGTACACCCCTGTAAACCCCTGTATACCCTTGTCAACCCCAATCGGATCGTCGGCAGCCGTTTGTCTCGGGAGACAATGATGTAGCGCTATGTCCATGTAGAGCATCGTCTCGAGTGGCTATAAAACGAGGCTGTAAACCGTTGTAAACCCTTGTATACCCCTGTAAACCCCTGTAACCCCTTGTATACCCCTGTAAAACCCTGTATACAACTTGTATACCCCTGTAAGCCCCTGTAACCCTTCCTATACCCCTGTAAACCCCTGTAACCCCTTGTATACCCCTGTAAACCCCCTGTATACCCAAGTAAACCCTTGTACACCTCTGTAAATCCCTGTATACCCCTGTAAACCCCGCTAACCTCTTGTATACCCCTGTAAACCCCTGTACACCAATGTAAACCATTGAATACTCCAGGAAACCCTTGTATACTCCTGTAAACTCCTGTATACCCGTGTAAGCCCTTGTTTACCTCTATAAACCCGTGTATACCCCTGTAAACCATTGTATACCCCCTGTAAACCCCTGTATACCCTTGTATACCCCTGTTAACCCTTGTATACCAATCTAAATCCCTATATACCCCTGTAAACCCCTTGTATACCCCTTTAAACCCTTGTATACCTTTGTATACGCCTGTAAACCCTTGTATACTCCTGTGAAACCTTGTATGCCCATGTAAACCCTTGTATACCCCTTTATACCCCTGTAAACCCTTGCATACCTTTGTATACGCCTGTAAACCCTTGTATACTCCTGTGAAACCCTGCATACCCTTGTATACCCCTGTAAATCCCTGTATACCCATGTAAACCCTTGCATACCCCTGTAAATCCCTGTATACCCCTGTAAACTCTTGTATACCCCTTGTATACAGGCGTATACAAAGGTATACAAGGGTTTACAGGGATATAAAGGGGTTTACAGGGGTATACAAGGGTTCAGAGTGGTATACAGGGCTCGACAGGGGTATACAAGGGTTTACAGGGGTATACAAGAGTATACAAGGGTTTACAAGGGTATACAGGGGTTTACAGGGGGTATACAAGGGTTTACAGGGGTATACTAGGGTTTACAAGGGTATACAGGAGTTTGCAGTGGTGTACAAGAGTTTAGAGGGGTATACAAGGGTCTACAGGGGTATACAAGGGTTTACAGGGGTATACAGGATTTCACAGGAGTATACAAGGGTTTACAGGCATATACAAAGGTATACAAGGGTTTACAGGGATATAAAGGGGTTTACAGGGGTATACAAGGGTTTACAGGGGTATACAGGGATTGACAGGGGTATACAAGGGTTTACAGGGGTATACAAGAGTACACAAGGATTTACAGGGGTATACAGGAGTTAACAGGGGTAGACAAGGGGTAGACAAGGGGTCTACAGGGATTGACAGGGGTATACAAGGGTTTACAGGGGTATACAGGGATTGACAGAGGTATACAAGGGTTTACAGGGGTATACAAGAGTATACAAGGGTTAACAGGGGTATACAGGGATTTACAGGGGTATACAAGGGTATGCAAGGGTTACAGGGGTATACAGGGGTGTACAAGGGTAAACAAAGGTTTACAGGAGTATACAAGGGTTTACAGGGGTATAAAAAGGTTTACAAGGGTATACAGGGGTTTGCAGGGGTGTGCAAGGGTTTACAGGGGTATACAAGGCTAAACAAAGGTTTACAGGGGTATACTAGAGCTACAGCCATATTCTCAGGACATTATAAGTAGTCTTACATAAAGTACTAACCCAAAACTGACTCCACCACCAAAATGAAAGTGAAATTTTCCAAGAACACTTAAAGATATTGTAGTGCCCAACATATTGTCTGCCTTTTTTCTGAGATTCAAGACTTATCATCTTTGGAAAATGCTTGGTTTACCCCTGGTGTTCTTTTTGAATTCCACTGTAGACCTTGCTGACATGTTCCTTTTCCACATAATCCTACTTTGGACAAAAGACCTTTGTATTAAGTAGGCACCATCCTTACCACTGCCCCAATACTTACCACTGTTATACTGACAGCATCATCATACTGACCCATAGCTACACTAACCAGTCCTGACGCCAGCAGTAACACAATCATAGGCTCTTTAAACTGGAAAAAAAATAGCCCAAAATGTTATCAGAGAAAAAGAATGTCTGTCAAAATGTATGATCCTTAGTGTTTTTAATTTTGTCAAAGCTCACCATTAACCATATACTCCAGATCTGTCAGGGCTGAGTGGCTGGGTCCCCAGTTGGGGAGGGCGGGGAGGTACTCTCTTATATGGGCTATGTAGGTAAATTGTGCAGTCCTAAAGGGTACGGTTTTCAGCTATTTTGGTAATAAATAGGGTATCGATTTTGGTCATGTTAGTCATAAATAGGGTATGATTTTGCACTCTAGTCTTGAATAGGGTAGGTTTTTAGAATAAACTACTTTTTCATTGATAGGACCATATCAACAAAAGCCATTCACAAATTACGTTTACAGCAATTTAACATTCGTCTGAACTAGGGACTAATTATAAGGAAGGTCTGAAACAGGGTATTGAATGTTTGGTCAGGTCATAAATAGGGTAGGGAAAATCGCACATATTGGTCATAAACAGGGTGAAGGTTTTGAGAAGTGGGCCGCACACCCCCACCCAGTTTTTTCTGCGAGTAGCCACCACGGGTTGGGCCCTAGAAGTGCCCAGGTACCACAGGCGACCAACTTTTGCCTTTGGGCAACTGGAAAATCTTAATTTTTTAACATAAGTTTAAATGCTGGGTGCCCAGGTTTTCATAATTAGGAACCTTTGGGCTCCTTGTTATTTTTCTCAGACCACAGCCTTGACTGTAGTGCTAAAAGCAATGTTATTTACTTATGAATGTTTCACTGACCAGTACACAACTGACAGCTTGTAGTGTTTTTCTCTTTAAAATCAGGAAGACACAGGTCAAGGTTTTTTAGAAGAGAACAGATTGAACAAGACAAGGGTGAGGTAAGTCCTTCCCTTGCATGCTGCCCTTAGCTTTTAGCATTCATGTTTGCAGGAATATACACTCATTGGACCCTAAGAGAAATGTCTGGCTACAAGCAGTGTACAACTTCCAAAAGCATAGTTAGTAGAGGAGACTAACTATGTCAAAAAGTGATAAGTACAATGATCATGTATACTACTGTTTACTGCTACACTTGTTATCTGCTATGCAAGACAAGGCCTTGAGGTAAAAACAGCCTTTTTAAGCCATCTTGATCAGTGTCTTGAACTGAACTAATTTGTAAAGAAAATAACCAGTTACTGGGAATTTTCTGTACAAATTAACTCCGCTCTGAAACATAACTGATGGCCTGTCAGATGGCCTCCTCCAGGGTTCTAGAAAAATGATAGTATTATTATATAATATTTTTTATTAGTATTTCACATATCAATGATAATTAATAATTATGTTAACTGTCACAATATTTTGTAACAACCTACTTTATATTGTTTTATACCTCAGGCTTGTTTTATAAAATGTATTTTGTGAATAGCAATGTAAGACTACATGTGCCATGACCTGGTTGCACGGGGCCCATTGTTCAAATCATAATACACTTGATTTGTCCAGGATTAGTACTGACCAGGCCTTTAGCCAGATGGGCATCCCCTGAGGCATCCTGTGGATGGCTACTTATTAAAGAAAATTGTTGGTTTTTATTTTATACATTGCCTTATAAATTGTTCATTTGAGCAGGTCCTATAGCACATCTTGGACACTCACTTTTCAAATCCTGGCTAGAAGCCTGCTACTGACATGAATTCAGTTTGAACTTTGCAGTGAGGATTTCTCTTCATATTTTCTACCTTCCAGTTTCAAAGTTGAATGGTTTCAAACTCCAGGAAAATATTTATCTAACAATGAAAGCCACTTTAATTTATTAAGAAATTAAGCTGATTTAAAGGCTTGATAAATTTCCAATTAAAAGCTAATCCTGGATTAGCTGTTGGTAATCATCTATCGAACAAGCTACCCCTACACCTCAGATTGAAAGATCCAGGTGAAAGCCCCTTGGAAGAGTAACTGCACTGTGTTCTTGGGAAATGCACGTCACTCTCACAGTGCCACTCTCCCCTCAGGTGTATATGCACATGTACCACACCATTTAATACTAGAGGGTAACCCTCAGATGAATTAACGCCCCAGGAGAAAGCTAGCGGAACTTATTCTAGTTACTTCATGCTACAGAAACTACTCTGGTGCCTATAGGCAGTAGGCACAAGGTGTAGTTCCAGAAAATATCCATACCTTCCCCACAGAAGGGATTTTTTTTTTCCAGATCCCCACCCCACTCCTCTGGAAATTAAAATTAAGCTTCATACATTTCTTTACATTTTTGGGGTTTAGAGAGCCTCCCATCCCTCACCCCCCAGGAAATTCCAATCCCTTTTGTGGGTGGAATATGGATATTTTCTGGAACTGCATGATATAGACTTGAAACTTGTGAATCACAGCTTTGAAACATTAGTTCCAAACACATGCTACATTTTTTGGGCATTAATTTCGCAAAGAAAGAAACATGTGCAGGTGCAGAATATAACTTTTAACGACCCAAAAGGAAAGCAATACTTTGCGCCAGTAGACTTCAATCACATATCAGCAATAAATGATCAATATTGAAAACAAGTGACTTTGGATTTAATAAGGAAAATATGGACTTACTTCCAAGAAACTAGCTCACTTCCTGCAGAAAGTGAACTCTCTTGTTGTTAAAGGATTCAATTGTTATTTCTAAAATACATATAATATATTCAAAGAGCCCAATAGATATATCGACCAGCTACAAAACCTGTCAAGATTGTATATAAGGGAAATAGTGTCAAGGAACACAAATTCACTTATTTGAAGAGATTTGGATGCCATTAAAGCTTGTAGAAGAGCCACTTAAAGGCATGGGAAAGTGTTTTACAGCATGCAATGTTGACACTATGTTGTATTATAAAAGCAGACTGGAGATATTTACCTTTCTGCTGAAAGAATATTTCCAATGTTTGTTTTTGCTAAATGTTTAAATAAGACAAAAGCAAAAAATACACAACCCAGTAGTGTACCAGAACTGTTTTCCCCACCTCACAAATTCTGCAGTCAAAATACCAAAAAAATGAATACAATTTTTTTACTTCTGCCAATGTTAACACAAACACAAAAAAGTTAACAGAAAATGTAAATCAAAGTTATTTAATTTGACATTTTACTGAGAATTGGGCCCTCTTCTTACCACAAAGAGATAAGATAAGGAAAAAAATTAAACCTAGTTTTAATTACTTATTGGCTTCAATATTGCAAACCTAGAGGGTTTTCATGTGCTGGTTCTCTACTTCTATGGTGTATTGTTATTAACAATGCAAAGAATCTCCCAAAATGACCAGTATTCACTAAATGCAATTTAAATTGCTTCAATAGAAAAACAGCTGATTGTGTTGCTTTATTATGATGTAAATCATTGTAGTCATAAGATGGGTTATTCCAGTTTAAACATTATATATAAAACCTAAAAAATATATAACAAACATGGAGGTAAGTAAAATAAAACTTTTAACACTTATTTGCTTGACTACCATCTTGCCTTTCAAAAGATCAATAATGACAATTCATTTTTCGAGAAGAAAGACAACAAAATGTCTCCATTTACCAACTGAAATTTTCACTGTTGCTATGACTCCATGAATGCAAAGATGGTATGTTTTGTTGTTCCTGCATTCGCATTGAAAGAAAAAAAAAGGCAAGCAAGGATTTGAAATCCACAGCATTCATGAATTTAATATATTATACTAAGGCCAGAGAACTAAACCATTAATCATACCCTTCACCTATCTTAATTTAATGCTTTTCTAACTTAACTTACATAGCAGGCTGCAAAATAAGGAATAATTCACAAGTGACAAATATTCTTCTAACATCTTCAAATGAAGGGAAAAAGACCTTGGTCCAACTCAACAGCCATTAGCTTGGTAAACATTGGTAGCGTTTGTAAACTCACACGCAAAAATAGTGTAGCACACTCATCAAAATAAGGAAAAAATTGAATTTTCAAGTTTTGCTGTAGCCATAAGAATGTACCTATTTTTATTTTATAGTTGGTTGTTAAGTCCTAAATCTAAGCTTCTGTACAAGTACATAGATGTATAAACCAGCCTCAACAAGAATAGTATGCAAAGAGGTTTTCTATTTCCACATAACTATTACCCTGTTGCAATCACACCCTCAGTTTTCATTCATTCTTACTTAGCAGAATATATTGGCAAAGTGGGATTAGAATTTCGCCCCAACCTGTTTAAATAATTATGGCAATTTAAGTAAACTTCAAATGAGATTCACAGCTATATATATAAACGCTGGAAATGCTTCCCAATAGCCGACAAAGATGTTAAATGAAAATTCTTCAGTGAATTAAATTAAGTAAGGTTAGTTAAAATAAGCTACAAAAATTATAGATCCACTCCAGTCTAGGATGACAACAGATGACAAGTTAAAATTTCAAGTTAAGCTTACATGACCCTGGTGAATAGCAAATACTAAAAATTTGTTATTCCCTCAATACAACCTACTGCACAGAAAATGGTGTGATATAAATGCATGGTCAACAATTTAAACTCAAGATCATAAAGCAAGCTTATCAAACCAGGGAATAGCTGACAGGATGATTTTTGCCCAACCAAAATAAATGAATATTTCCACCGTGGCGAAATAATTAAGTATTAGCGTCAGACTGCACTTCTAACCTGGTCAATATATTTTCTCCAGAGCGGCGTATCCTCTACCACATCAAATTCGTTTAAACCGTGAAGCTTTCTTCGTCTTTCAACTTCATCGTTTGCCAAACCGCGTTCGGGATCACTCCGAAATTGTTTTAAAACTTCGGACACAGACAGCGAGGAAGCCCTCCCCGACGATATAACGGTGGACATCATTCCAGACCCTCTTCCTTCCTCAGGGCATTCTTCTTGCTCAAGCTGAATGTAGTTGCCCATTATCGAGCCAGAGTGTTAGATATTTCGCCATAATTTCACTCTCATATTGGTTCAGAAAAGAAACTTATTAATGAGTGCCCGCCACAAAACAGGAACTGTGATTACCCAACATGCAACGAGGGACTAAGTCCGAGCAGCCTTCGGAAAACTGGGTCGGCGGTTTGAAGCACTTCCGGTACGTCTTATTTCCGGTTTTCATATCCGGAAATTTCCACCAGTTTGCGAAATCTCCGGAACAGAAGACCGAAAATTTTCGTAAATATCTTACCGAAAATTTCTGTTCAATTTGACTTTCTTCCCAGAATTTTCAGTTGAATGGTTCACTTTTCGTAATTCAACCATTTGTGGATTTTCTGGAAACTTTTCCTGGAAATTTCTTTATCATTTCTTCCCTTTGAATGGAAAGTGCACCCGAACAACCTTCCGTACTGGAAATTTCCAATAGAGCATTTTCCGGAATGGCCAAAATTTTGTCCAGGAATTTCCATTTGCTTTTGTCCTAAGCGTTTCTAGAATTTTGGGTTGAATGATTCCTATTTCATAAATTCAACAGTTGTCAGATTTTCCCGTAGCTTTCTCAGGAAATTTTCAAATCATTTGCCCTGTTTCAGAAATTTCTAAATTTTTGGTTGAATGGAAAGGGCCCAAATGTCCCCTCTAGCCAGCATGGCAAAAAAATAGAAAGAACCCTAGAAGGCATTGGGGAGGGGGAAAATGAATTTATTCATCCTCTCAGCTCCACATAATGTAAAGCAGCCCATGTGAATTGTATCACCCTGGTTAAATAAATTTCTTTAATTTCTGTTCATTTCTTTTTTCTTACCCTTCCTCTGCCCCTTCCAAATATGCCTAAATGTTTCCTTGTCATAGCATTTGAGGAGCAACTGCAGCTCTGTCTTTTCCTTTCATGCAGCAATGGGGAAGGGTACCAAATGAACTGTGGTGACGTGTGTGTGTAATACAAAAGAAAACTAAGCCTTAGTGTTCAAATTCAATGAACTTGTTCTTTGGCCATAGAAGTTTAATTAAGCATAGTTAACAAAAATAGCATTGATACACAGGGTAAACAAAACATCTTGTTAAACAACTTGATGTTTTAAGCACTACATAGGTTACACTTTCAAACGAAAATGAAAAAGATCTATACACTAATATCTATTATCAACATTGCTCGAACACGTAGAAAACCAAAAAAATAGTAGTGATTTTGGCAAAAAATTCTTTCTTTGAGATACCTAATCACTTCTTATTGACCTATCTTTCCTGTTTAGACATAGCATTTTACATTTTTGAAGATTTGAAAATGTTCATAACAACATTAACCTATTGCATTACATTAAAATATTGTTATTAATTAGCTCTTGATATCTTAGCAGGAGGTCTGAATGGGAGAATCTTGGCCAAGGTTGTGAGTACAGACCGAACGCAGTGAGGTCTGCACACATGACTGAGGTCAAGATTCTCCCATACAGACTGACTTAGCTCGGTTAATAAGATGTTTATTATATGGCAAAGAAGAAAACTTTAATTCGTTTAA